CGAGCCTCAGGCTCGTGGTGCTTTGTCTCGGGTACTATGTCATTACAATCCGCTTAACATAGTCATGTCTCAGGTATTACAATACCAGGGGGTTACAATACCTCTATGAGTAACTACCTCGGGCCCTACGGGGCGGGGTGTTACAAGTGGTATCAAAGAAACCCTGCGACAGTGTGTTGACCCGTTGGATATCGGGCGGGCACTTAGCGGGGGAGGATTCTGGGATTTGATTGAAATTTGAGATTGGTTTATGAGCACAACGAGGACTTTGCGTTCCTAAGTGGAGGTGATTGTAATACCCGAGATTAATTTAAGAGGATTAATAGTACTACTCATACCAACAAGGTGCATCTCCTTTTAAGGGAGCTCATTATCCAAGAACTCTAAAATTAAGCGTGCTTGCACGGGAGTAGGCTTGGGATGGGTGACCCCCTGAGAAGTTTCTCTGGGCGTGCATGAGTGAGGACAAAGTGCGCGGTAAAGGCTCGTGATGGTTTGTGAGGACAGTATTAGAGGTCTGGATGGTGTGTAGGAGTAAGTACCTCGGGCCCTGCGGGGTGGGGTGTTATACATAGTCCTCGTCATCCTCATCACTTTGTAAATCTGTTTCTAGAAAAATAGTGGATACACCCACATATTGGTATGCATCTGGAGCTTGGGCTACTGAAGGTTGGCCTTTATTTTGTCTTTTAGTGGGCAGTGAACTTTGGGCTTCCTGTGAAAATTGGGTTGTTTGTTGAAAATTAAAAGCTTGTGCAAGGCCTTTTAATAAAGTACCCACTAAGGGTGGGCAAAAGACCCGGTCCCGTTGGTCCGTTCCGGAACGTTCCGGTTCCGTTCTAAAATTGTCCCGTTAAATTCGGGACAAACTATTTTTGTCCCGTTCCGGTCCCAAACCATTTCATAACAAAACGGGACCGGGGCAAATAAAATATGTCTCGTTCCGTCCCATTATTTCGAATTCAAAATTGTATATAGTTGTGGGTTAGTGAGTCTACCATCAATTCAAATACTAATGGATATTAATTAGGTATTAGTTATCTAATATGTAAAACACCTAAAAGAGTCTAAATTATATCAAATATGAACTATCTTCTACATACTAAAAAGAAACTCATGTATACTTCACATGTTTCACTTCTACCAATTCAATATTGTTTGTTTTTTTATTTATTTTTGTAGTTTCTTAGTAGTATTGTGTGTTGGAGTTATTGTTGTTATTACGGTTTGTTTCGTGCAACTATCCTATTAATCTACAATATTTTGTGTTGCATTTATCGTAACTTTTTGTATGTGTTGCATTTTTAGTGTTGTAGTTTTTGTCATGAAGTTTCTTTTTGGAGCTGTATTTTTTTCGCTGCAATTTTTTGGGATGTCCCGAACCGCCCCGTTCTGTTCTGGTACCGATTTAAAAAGGACAATAGCGGGACAACATCTTGTCCCATCCCGTTCTGTCCCGTTATCCTAAATCGGGTTCGGGACCGGGATAGTCTAATTCCCGTCCCGTTCCGTCCCGTGCCCACCCCTAGTACCCACCACCCATTTTCTACTAGTGTTTGCAACAAAGTGCAACTCAATATGTGGATCCATTATATTACACACCAACATGTCTTGGACATCTTTAGCACAAACAATATCTTGCAAACATACCGGCCCACACTCCTTGATTGTGAATCTTCTAAACCACAGTTTTACGTCATTTGTATAACCCAAATCTGCTGCATACCCATCTAACTCAAACTTACTCACATAGTCAATGCCTACTTTATCTTTTTTCCAAACCTGGCCCCCCACATACTTTTTCTTTTGTTTAGGACAGTCTCATTTTCCACCATGGTGAATTATCATAAAAGAATGCGACAAAATAAACATTCATTATCATAAAAGAATGACAATTTACACGGTTACTCATACCCATTCACACATTCAAGTTATTCATTTAACACATCCAAACAGACCCATTCACACATTAATTAACCAATCAACCAGGTTTCAAAACGTGCTTCACACAATAAGCAAAATATGTAAACAAACAAGATTGAGTACTTACTTTCACCTCTGTGTTTGCATTCTTGTCCTTTGTCTTTGCATTCTTGTCCTTTGTCTGTGACGACCGGCATTGTTTCTTCTTTCAAAATGCATTTGAAGAACGTTTTGTATCTCATGCCTAATTCGTTTATCTTCAACCCTAATTTCATTTAAGTTATTTGTTTTTAAGTATGTAATTGAAATAATTGATCTCGATTGGCCACGCTGGAGCTTATTTGGGGGGGGGGGAGGGAATCCGTGTCGCACTTTTGAAACGTCGAACTCCCTTAGACCCCGCGGGTGGTAACTGTTTTAAAACACGAGCTTGCGTTTGTTACAAATTTCATCACACACCCCTAAGTGCAAACGGACACAACCACAAGTACATATTCCGTACTTTTCCCTATTAATTAAAGTACTTTAATACTACTTTGACAAATTACTATTTTAGCAAAATTCAATGTTTTGGACGTAATTGTTCTACTTTTTGATAGGGGTGGGTTTGGTTCTTTCAATTCGGTTTTGACAAAAAACCAAATACAGAACCAAAGTTGAAAGTTCGGTTTAGTTTCGGTTCGGTTTTACATTTCAAAACGTAAAACCACGGTTTGATTGGTTTGGTTTAATTCGGTTCGGTTTCAGCTTTTCAATTTTTTATTAAAAAATTGTCATTTGATTGAAAATGAAATAATAGTTGGAGGGAACAAACATATAACATAAAAATGCAAAAACCCTAGAACAAATAAAATAAAAAATGAGAAGTATTGAAATAAATATGTCTTGAATTATATGTGTATGCAGGAGAGTTAAAAGTGTAAATATTCTTAATTTACATTTTTTGGACTAGTTTGAAAAAAGTTCATGAATATATACGTCCTAGGTGATCATATAGTTGAGATGAATATTTATTTGATATATCAATATAAATATTTTAAGTTATATAAAAATAAAAGTTAATTACTAATTATAATGAGTAAAAATATATCGTCATCATGAAACAAAGTGCATCATACATACATAAAAGATTTAATAGATTAATATAACTACATTATTACATATATGCAATGAATGCGTAAATGCATATGTAAACTAAAATAAAATAAACATAACACAAAATTTAATTCTCTAGCACAAGAACCCAAAGACCATTGATGGTATTAAGATTAATTAGTTAGGATTAATGCTTAACAATAACAAATGAAATTTCATATTTTAATTAGTTCGATCGGTTTATTCGGTTCAATTCGGTTTTGAAGGTCAAATCCAAAAAGGAACCAAACAACTACGGTTCGGTTCAATTTTTTACATTTGGTTTCGGTTTTTAGAGGTTCTGTTTTATTTGATTGCGGTTCGGTTTAATTTGATTCTGTTTTCGATTTTCAGTTTTTCAGATCCAGTCCTACTTTTGGATGTAGAACACATTGGAATTGAGAGTTTTGGACATAAGCGGTAAGCGTTCTACTTTTAATCCTTACATCCAAAACATCAATTTTGCTAACATAGTAATTTATTACGTGATTTCTCTCTAATGGTATTAGAAGTCATATTAATTATTAATTAATTATATTTTTCTATCAGGGCAAGACTTACACAATACATTTATATGATATAAATTTTTAAATAAGTGAAACAACTATTCTCTTTCTGCGGTTTATATTTTATTTGGTGAATTATTATATTCTTATTTGTAAGTTAATTTGTCTGCATAGTCTTCATTTGAAATGCAATCTCAATTAACACTCAAACTCCTACTCATACCAAATTGAGTAATTCACTTTTGCTATTATGATAATACAAACCTTTCATGTTATCAAATAACTTCTATATTTTATTTATATAAAAAATTGAAATATCCTTTTGTTTTATTAAATGTTTAAAAGTTTAAGCTTGGACTTTGATGTTTGAAGTGATTAAAACTTTAGAAAATAATTTATTCTTTATGATTTGAATATTTATTCGGCATTTTTGTGTGCTAGAAAGTAAGTTATGCTTTAATTTTTTCGAAGAGGATGATGTATGAATCAAAATAGTAGTAGTTGTTTAGAGATCGTGTAGAGAGAGAGAGATACAATAAAAATAATGATAATTCCAAAACTTGGTGTGCCAAAGGGACGCAAAAGGTGTGGAATTAATGTACAAAAATACCTAGGATTGTTAATAAATACTCCCTCTGGTTCCTATTAAAGTTCTCACTTTCCTTTTTGGGATGTCCCTTATTTAAGTTCACACTTCCATTGTAGGAAACAAAACAGTGCCAAATAGTGTCAAACAGTGTCCAAAGAGTGTCACACAGTGCACTCCACAGTAAAGTCAGATTTATTTTCTTAATATGTGTGAAGTTAAACTGAGAACTTTAATAGGAACCGGAGGGAGTATATTCCTAAATATATTCTCTTAAATTATCTCGACAATTTTAAATTTGGGATTAGACTTATTTTAGGTGGTAAAAGCTAAAATAATAGATGAGTCATCAAAGTCAATTAGCCAAAGTCAACCTCACGATTGCCAAAAAAGGCACTGAAGTAAAAAAATTGCCATTTAAAGAAAACGGCTACGCTAGCGCTTATAACATTGCCGAATATGTCTCTCCCACTCTTCTTCATAGTTCACCACAACACAAAAACACTCCATTTCTGTTCATCATCCAGATACACAGAACTACAACAAAAATAGTTTAGATAATGGAGAATGATCAAGATCATGTACCGGATTTCATGACGTTGGAAGGGAATTTCAGAGAAGAGAACGACGAAGTCACGGGTTCTCTGTCTATTGAGAGTTCCTCCTCCTCATCGTCATCTTCTTTTTCGTCATCTTCTTCTTCTTCTTTACAACAGTTTTGTGGCGAGATGCACCGGGTGGGCTTCGTGACCGCCAACATTTTGGGCCTCAGTTACTACACCGGTGTCTGTTTCAACGATGGCGAAGTGGTGAACCTTGTCCGTCAGCCCTCCGACGACTGGGATTCCAATGCTATACAAGTGCTCAGCATTCGCAACGAAGAGGTTGGCGACATCGAGTCCTCCGCGGCCCATGTCTTCTCTCCTCTCCTTGACTCAGGGACTATCATAATCCAAGGTATATCATAACATCAATCTTGATGGGCGTCAAAATGTAAAGAGTGAATTACCTAAATATGACTAAAAGAGACTCAAAAATCAGAAATGGTACTATATTGTTTTAAATTCCCGAGTAGAACTACTTATGGGTGTTGGGACAAATATTCCTTTGTATCTTTTAAAATGTCATAATGAAATCCTAAAAAATAATAAAATTCGTAAAAAATAAAATGCCAATGTTTGGACAAATATATCTTTGTAGCACCACCAGCTTCGATCACCTGAGAAAAATGTCAATGTTCATTAGTAATTCCATATTTATGACAGTTTCAATGACAATTTTGGCATTAGCAAAAAAGTAAAATGTCATTTTCTTGGTATTTTAGGGGAAAATGACATTCGTTTTCAAAAAAGACATTTTTTTCAAAACAATGGCTTTTGTTTTCGCCAATCGGGGTGGTGGTGCAGGGAGGTGGTAGAGGCGGTGGGAAATACATCCATATTTTTTAATATTTTTTATGGGTTTATAGTTTTTACTACTACGTACTCCATATTTTTTATTAATTTTAAAAAAAATCAATTCTTTTTAAATAAATTTATTATTATTATTATTTTACGGTTTTATTATGAATTAAAAAATTTTATTATGAATTAATACTCGTAGGGGTATTTATGATAGAAAATTAATGTTTAATCCTATCTCTGAATGATTTTAGGCTCTAGATCTGAAATTAAGTTTCCATTTAGTCCTATTTAGGTCACTTTTTAAGTATAAATTCAAACCATTCTTTGATGTAGTTATACTCTGTGCATTTACTTGTGTTGGTAATGGAACAGGTGTTGTGCCAGAGGTATCCTGGGAAGGAAACAGATATAAGACGATCCCATGCCAAATTCAAATCTTTGCTAAAATATCTGCATTCAAAAAAGTCAAATCCATAATTTTAAGTGCTGGGTTGGACTTAACTTCTGATAATGACTCATCTTTGGCATTATCAGAGTCAGCCATTGTGAAAGAACACGTGATTGCAAGCACAGACGAGATCTTGAAGCTGCTAAATGAGATGGCGTGCAAGAAGGAAGCTTTGGGGACATTGGACCCTCCAAATGCTATTATAAAGTCTGAACTTCTTCCACATCAGAAGGAAGGATTGTGGTGGCTAGTCCAGAAGGAGAAAGGCCATGATTTGCCTCCATTCTGGAAGGAAAGAGACGGTCTTTATGTCAATGTATTGACAAGATACTGTACAGTTCACTGTCCTGATCGTATCCGTGGTGGGATCTTCGCAGACGACATGGGTCTGGGTAAAACTCTCACTATTCTTTCATTGATTGCTTTAGATAAATTTATCGATATGGAGGAAATGGAAGATGTACAAATTTCTTCTATTGGTGAAGGCTCTGAGAGTGGACGAGATAGTGGCGAGACTATGAAAGGAATGAGTTCTAACATGGTCTCTTCTTCGCATATGAAAACGACATTGGTTGTGTGTCCGCCGGCTGTGTTTTCAGTGTGGATAACACACTTAGAAGGACACACTAAAGTTGGTTCTTTGAAGGTTTACATGTATTATGGCAGCAAGAGGACTAAAGATGCCAACGTCCTTCAACAGTATGATTTGGTTTTGACAACTTATAACACTTTGGCTAAACAAAACGAGTTGTTGGACTCACCAGTGAAATTGATAGAGTGGTGGAGAGTTGTTCTTGACGAGGCACACGTGATTAAGAATGCAGATTCTAAGCAGAGCCAGGTCGTTAACAACTTAAAAGCCAAATGCAGGTGGGTTGTGACTGGGACTCCAGTTCAGAATAGCCCATTTGATTTGTATTCTTTTATGGCTTTTCTTAGGGTTGAGCCTTTCTCTGTCAAAAACTACTGGAATAGTTTCATACAACTCCCCCTTTCTCATGGAGATCAGATGGGATTTTTGCGACTTCAGGTAAAAGCCATTCTCTCACATCTTTTCTTTGTTGGAGTTTGTCTCTTCAGCGCGATCTTTTGCATGCGGAGCTTTGATTTTATGTTATAAGAGGAACTGATGAAGTAGTTCAGCTATTTATTTTTGCAAAAAAAATGTTTTTTACAACCATGCTTTCTTCATCTGGCCAAGTATTAATAAAAACTAAGCAGTTACTTGAAAGCTACTTGATCAAAGGCGAGTGGTGATTAGGACTGTTATCGGATGTAATCGCCTAATTATAGGTTTTTAAAAAATTTAAAAACTGTATGCTACAAATTTCTAATGATAGTAGTTTATAGGTCTTTATATATATAAAGCAAACGACAATAATATAATCGTGCATAAAGAATTTATAGACATATCACACTATCTACTGATTTAACTTAAAGACTAATCCACATTTTATTCACTTTCCACCATGTCTGCAATTACATATTCATATTGGTGTTGCTATTCTAATAAAATTATTGCTGCATGCCTGCCTAGAAGAAACTTTGTGCTTCACCTAGATCTCTAACTGCAAGTGGTTTTGTTTTTGCCCAATCAGGCTTTAATGGAAACTATGTCATTGAGAAGAACAAAAGATAAAACTCCGGTTGGATTGCCAACAAAAACTATACGGACATATCATGTAAAACTCTCTAAAGAAGAAAGGGAAATTTATGATCAGATGGAATGTAAAGCAAACCAAATTATTAAGAACTATATCTCTGAGGAAAGTTCAATGAAGAATTATTGGACTGTATTGAGCGCACTTGTGCGCCTTCGACAAATATGTGCAGATGTTTCCCTGGTTCCCGCGCAGCTTCGAGATTTACTCCCAGCATCTCAAATTGGAGGTAAGCTGACTTTGGTTCCCCCTGCTGTCTCCTCTCTGCAATGCATCATTTTTATTTCTTTCTATGTTGGCTTAATATGTTTTTCCTGTTGCTGATTATAGTGTTTTTTCCTTTAATTACATTTACCTGTCCTGAGGGTTGATCTAATTACTAAAGATACCATTTGTCACCTTAGATTTCCCATAGATATTATAATGTTACTCCATTTGCTATGAGCCTATGAGTAGGAGTTTTAGTGTTTCAGGACCACATTAATCTCAACACTTGTTCCAAATATTTATTTCCTAAAAAACAAAAACTAGTTAATCTATAAGATGCATTAAAAGTAGAACTCTTAATTAACTGCAGGAAAGGTTTATTTGCAAACTTGAGAAACTTTGGGGGTGATTTGAGAGTGTGACCAAATTCAACAGCGGGAAACCAGTAACTGTGTTTTACCCTTATTGCTAGTCACTAAAAATGCTATGCATTTCTGCAATTTATCACATTTTCATTTTTGCCTCTCTCAACTTCCATTAAACCTTTAAGAATATGTGGGTAGTTGTTCTATGAGACATGCAAGTTTTTAAAAAGAGAGTTGATAGGGATGTACTATAAAGAAAACGTGATCAACTAAACTAAGATCATGAAGGGATGAATAACAAATTCGAGCTATATTTACATATTTAGAAATTTAAGCAGAAAGATGCCATACACATGAAGGAAAACATATTTTTGAGCCTTTTACTTTTGTGGTAAATAATCAATGTGATGGTGATTGCGGCTGAAACAGATGTACAGAGCAACCCGGAACTGTTGTCTAAGCTGCTGATGGCACTACAGGATGACGATGGTCTTGACTGTCCAATTTGCATATCACCCCCTAAAGAAACAGTCATTACATGTTGTGCTCACATCTTTTGCAAGATGTGCATCCTCAAGACACTCCAGCAAAGCAATCCGGGCTGCCCGATGTGTCGCCACCCACTCGCTGAGTCCGACCTCTTTTTCGCACCATCACAAGCTTCTGTACCAGGCCATGAAGGAAACAGCCCATCCTCAAAAGTCAGTGCCCTTCTCGATCTTCTCCTAGCAGAACGGGAGCGGGACCCGACAGCAAAATCAGTTGTTTTCTCACAGTTCCGCAGTATGTTGCATATACTTGGGGAGCCGCTGAAAGCAATGGGTTTCAAGATACTGCGGTTAGACGGGTCGGTGAACGCAAAAAAACGGGTCCAAGTGATAAGGGAGTTCAGTGTCCAGGCGCCCGAAGGGGCCACGGTCCTACTCGCAAGCCTCAAGTCTTCAGGAGCAGGAGTAAACCTCACAATGGCATCAAGTGTTTACTTGTTCGACCCGTGGTGGAACCCGGCAGTGGAAGAGCAGGCCATGGACCGTGTGCATAGGATTGGGCAAACGAAGGAAGTGAAGATTGTGAGGATGATTGCACTTGACACCATTGAGGAGAGGATATTGTGCCTCCAAGAAAAGAAGAAACTTTTGGCTAGCGAAGTTTTCTGGAAGTAGCAAAGCTCCAGAGATCAAAGGGATTTAAGCACAGATGACCTCATTACCTTGATGCAGTTGTGATTCAAACTTTTGAACCCAAAGAATTGAAGCATGACATTGGACCAGTCACATGGTAAATCCTCTTCTTAGCTTCTTCCTCACTGCCAACAACTTTGGCTAGGATTTGATTGTGGGTTTTCAATGCCTATATTGTGTGTAAAAATGTCCGAGTTTTTCGATAATATGAAATTCAGCTGTAAACTAATGTCACAGTTTTGTAGAGTTAGAAGTATTAACTCCAAATTCGGTAATTGATCATAATAAATTTTTTCTTGTGAACAACATTTAGATTATCTGATTTGATTGTTTCAAATCATCGATTTCTGGAGCATATGGGCATATCTTTGTAACAAAGCATAAAAATCCAATTATCCGAATAAAACATGAACATTGCAAGGGTGGATTAGCCGGTGAAATATACTCCCTCTGTCAATGGTATTCAACTTTGATCAATGCTATTTAAAATATATGAAAATTATATCCAAATATTCCTTATTCAAAAAAAAAATCATACAAGTATAAAATTTATAAATATACTATCGGATACAAGTATAATAATTAAAATTATTGTCCAAATTTTATCATTACTGAGCAAGAAAATTAATATAGCAAACCTTTTGGGATGGAGGTAGTATAAATGATAAATCAATACGGACTTGACCTTGAGTTTTATACTTGTATTATCCTTCTCTTTAATTGCGCTTTCTCAAAATTTTAGTTGCAAAACAACATAATGGGGAGGGGATCATCAATTTCTAATTTCTTTCAAATAATGACACATAATTTTTATCTTCTTAATTCAATTTTTCAATCAATCATGAATTATGAGCAATTTTTTTTAGGGATTTGGAATTTGTGAAGGGGTATTCATGGAATCTAAAGTTAATTTGTATTTGAATAATTTAATTGTTATCGTTTATAACTTGGAATGACCACTATGATTATAATCGCATGTAAAATTCTTCTAAGACACTTCCACACGTATTAGCACATTTAGACATCTAGACACAGATCCCGTATGTGTCATGTGTGCATGCTTGACAACAATTTGGAAACGTAACATGTCGTATGAGAGATCTATCGTGCTCTCAAAATCATTGCACTCTATGTCGCGATGGCAATAAGAATTTAGTAGAGAAATTTTCACAAGTAGACCGTAAAGTGACAATAATATCACTTTTTCAACTTTGGAAAATTATTTCAAAACTAGACTAGTTAAAAAATTCATTTCATAAATAGATCCCTATACAAAATACACCTATGGTCTCAATCGCGAGTTTTTTTTCCGGAATAATGCTAATTAAATAAATTATTCTCGAAATACTGCCGGGTTAAGAATAATTCCCAAAATACTGCTGGAATTAACCACGGTTAAGGAAAGCCGTCACTCCAAGTGGTGGCTCTTGTATTACTTCACAAAAGCCGTCACTCGGAGTGGCGGCTCTTCTCTTATAGTACAAAAGCCGTCACTTCAAGTGGCGGCTCTTCTCTTACGTCCCATTTTGTACATATAAAACGCAATATGTTTCAAGAATTTGTTTAACTTCCTTACCGATTGAATTTTGAGCTGAAATTTGGTATGCATAAACTAGACTTGATGAGGAACATACTCAAAACATTTCATCAAAAAATTCCACCGGAAACACCCTCTGATTATTTTTTCCGCGGGGGGGTCCAGTCAGGACGTCATGACAAAAGGGTGATCCGGCCACCTCAATTTGAGGTGATTCCAGGTGGGATGTTTTGCTGATTTTTTTTGTGTATGTTATTCATCAGGTCTAGTTAATCCATATCAGCAAAATACTAATTGAGCAGTTAATCCATACATGAGCAGTATGGCAAATACGAATTGAGATCTAAACACAAAAACCTATGAACAAAGCAATAAATCCAAGACCTATTGAAGATATAGTGATTAAAATACACACCGAAGCAGTCGAGGAAGGAGGGACGGAGGGCGGATCGAGGGAGGCCAGAGGGCGCGGCTGGCTCGGGGCGGAAAGGGAACATCTGTGCACGCCCTTTTGACTTTTCTAGTTGAGCGCTTCGATTCAGTTCGATGAGAGGTGAGATCATGAGCATGGTTGAATGGGGAGTAAGGAGCAATACTATCAGCAATAGAGGATAAGTTACGGGTTTGATTCAGGATTTGGGCTATTTTTGAAAAAAGAAATTAAAAGTGAAAAGATGAAAACTAAAAATGAAAAGTAAATCATTAGGAGACATAAATGAAATGCATTTGTAAAAAGTGAATCGACCGGGATATTTCCACAATTTAGTACTGATAGCTTTGCTCAATTGAAAAAATATATTTTCATGTGATTAGCGTTGATCTGTTCTCGAAATATAATCTAGTTTCTCCGAAACCAATATGTGACCCCTTTATCCCATTCAATCGTTAGAAACAAGTTAATGTCATTTATTTTCAATGCAATTTATAACTAAAACCAATCTTGCACAATATAGATTTTACTTTATCAAATTCAAAATCATTGAAATAAATTAACACTTACTTTTTCCATGAATGTAGAGATGATACTCGTACTTACACCATATATGTTAGAAAAATGATATTAAAAATGCGAGTTTAACTCGATAAAAATATGAAGTTATGTTGGGTGTGTTTCAGAAAATAAAGAAAAATAATTAAAATAAATTAATTAAATAAAATGACTGGAGAAAAACAAGAAAGGAGATGAAGCAGAATTAGCCAAAGCTCGTGCTACGCACGATTTCCTTAAAACGTATTTGTTGCCTCCCACGGTGCTAGGAGCGTTGCAACAATCGTTTCCCAGGATACGATGACTACGAACTAATGTTTGAGCACACAAACAAGAGTTCCAGCGAACGAGAACCAAGTATGAACACAGAAGGATTTTTGGGAGTAGCTGGAAGAGTTTTCAGCTCAAGAAAACGTGAGGAAAGTGTTGTGCGTTATCAAACCGTGTGTCTGTTGCAAAGCACCTGCCAGCTATTTATAGGAGGATTGATTGTGTGTTAAATGGGGTGTTAATGGACCTGAACGTTGGACATCAATGACCAGTCCGTTGGGCATTGAATCGTCCATAAACTGTCCATTTAACGCAGCATTAAAAGATAAGAACGTTGGGCATTAATTGTTGTAACGGAAGAAGTGCGCGGCAGAAGACCCCAACAGAACACCCCTTGGAGGGGTTCTGTCCGAAGCCAACAGAACTCCCCTCGGAGGGGTTCTGTCCGAAGCCAACAGAAGAAGCCAACAGAACTCCCCTCGGAGGGGTTCTGTCCGAAGCCAACAGAACTCCCTTGGAGGGTTTCTGTTCGAGGCCTTCTGTCCGAAGCCAACAGAACCGTATCTCTTGAGAGATGGATTTTTGGACGGCATTCGTGTCCGCAGGTCGCCCGCGCACACGAGTCGCGGTTTTTCTTCTCCGTTTCGGGATTTGATCGGCACCCCCCCTCCCTGCGCGTAAGAGAGAGCCTTTCCCTTTAGGAATCTTAACTCCTTAAAAGAGGCTTCCCTTTATAAGGGGGTGAAAATCCCTTGAGTTTTTCGGTGTGGGATAAAACACACTAGAAACTCATCATTTTCCCAGTTTTTCCATTTCAACGAGCGAACTTCGAGAATCAATTTCTCATTCACCCGTTATCCGTTTTGAGCGTACCATATATCGAATTGTAGCCCTTAACAAGGACAATCCGAAACCACTTTGACCCGACCCAAATCGGAAGTGGACCCCACTCAAATAATTGCCCCAAATTGACCATTTAATGCAATTTTTTAACACATTTTTCCAACAATCCCCCACATGAATGAAAATTGATTTTCGAGACTTAAAAGGACACGAAGATAGGAGGACACGTTGTGTTCACCGGATGATCCTTGCATACGGAGAGGTAGGTTTTATCCTTTGAACCTTCCGTTGTAGAGACACGTTTATTTACTGGCTGTCTAGTAGACTCGATGTCCTTGAACTATACTGCCGTCGTGTAAACATTGACTTATCTTTACACAAGAACCTTCCAACTTTGTTCCGTTCTCATGGGTGTGCCCGTTTTGGCCATGGGTCACCGTCCTGGTTCTGCAAGAGTTTCTAAAGAACTGAGCCTTTACAGTTCTCCTTTGAAGCGGCCCTCTTCTCTCTCACATAGGTGATTCTGTCACGAGTATCCCGCATACTCTTCCAATGTTATCGAGTAGATCAACATTTTAGAATCATTAAAGCAAACATTTTTGCTAACCTCGTGCGGGAGTCACTGTTTTAACGAGGAGTGGGTAGGAGTCCGGGACCCCCACAGTGACCATCCTTCGCTCTATAATTTAGTTGTCCCTTTTGAACCTAGGACCAACTAGGTTGGGTATCCACTATAGAACTTTTCAATTCACGGGCTTTAGACCCATTCCTCGTGACAACTTCTCCAACAATTCTCTATCCAATGCCTTGGTTAGCGGATCCGCTATGTTATCCTTTGACTTCACGTAGTCAACAGTGATAACACCCGTTGTGAGGAGTTGTTTAATGGTGTTATGTCTACGACGAACGTGTCTAGACTTACCATTGTAGAGATTGCTCTGTGCCCTTCCAATTGCCGCTTGACAATCGCAATGTATGCATATTGGAGGGACATGCTTCTCCCAACTTGGAATATCCTCGAGAAAATGGCGTAGCCATTCAGCCTCTTCAGTGCACTTATCCAAGGCTATTAGCTCAGACTCCATCGTGGATCTAGCTATTAACGTTTGTTTTGAGGATTTCCATGACACGGCTGCACCTCCCAAAGTGAAGACATATCCACTTGTGGACTTAGAGTCCTTTATGTCGGATATCCAACTAGCGTCGCTATACCCTTCAAGTACAGCTGGATATCTTCCATAGTGCAGTCCAAGGTTTTGGGTTTTACGTAAATACCTCAAAACCCGTATTATTGCCTTCCAGTGTTCATCACCAGGGTTGCTAGTATATCTACTTAGCTTACTAACCACAAAGGCAATATCAGGCCTGGTACAACTCATTAGATACATCAAACTTCCAATAATCCTAGCGTATTCTACTTGAGAAATACACTCTCCACGATTTTTGGTAAGATGAGTGTTTTTATCTAATGGCGTCCTTGCCTCTTGATAATCGTCCTTATTAAATTTAGTAAGGATTTTATCAACGTAATGGGATTGGCTTAGCGTTAGACCGTCAGGTCCTCTAATTATTTTAATCCCA